GATTTAAATGAAAACCATTGTCTGGCCCAGGGGTTGTTATTATAGTCCTCAAAGTTTATCAGAACAAGGAATTAGAATTACCTGCTTAATGATGTATTCAGGGAAAGGTAGACATGTGTGCCACTTACTTTTAAAGGCATCAAAAATTAAGATGGATTTCAAGACTGGATAGATGCACAGATGTGAAAAAGCAAGTATTGGAACAGGCAAATCTAGGTGGTGGATATGCAGGTTTCACTATATTCCTTCCACTTTCCCATGTTTAAAAAATTTCATAATATGGGATATAAAACTGAAACCCGTAGACACAGATAACAGTATGATGGTTACCAGAGGGAAGGGGGGCAGGGTGGGGTAGTAAAGGGTAAAGGGGCCAAATATATAGTTGACAGAAGATGATCTGACTTTGGGTGGTGGGCATACAATGTAATATACAGATTATGTATCATAGAAATGTACACTTGAACCCTACATGACCCTATTAACTGTTACCCCAATAAATTTAATTAAAAATTTTTCATAATAAAATATTTGGGGCAGATTTGGGTGTCTGACTGTACATTCCCATTGGACAGATGAGAAATTGGAGCTGAAGAAGTGATCTGCCCCAGATTCATTTGGTGCCTCAGAGACAAAGTTGGTGACACCTAGGCATTCTGGTTAGTCCCTCCCTTGGCTGGGTAGCCCTGGGGCAAGGTGATTTACCTGAGTCCCACTGCCAACTCGGTTAGCCCGGTTAATTTGAGACTCACAACTTGCATCACTCTCAAAAGGGAGGACAGCAGTCCTCTTTCCATTTGAGCCCCTACTGACCCTACACTGGCCTTGGACATTTGATCTGCCAGGGCTCTGACAGCTGAGGTTTGGGGCTGGCTATTTGTTGGCTTCCTTCACACCCAGCCAGGCCTGTTCCAAGTGGTATAGCCTCAAGATCATGTCCCCAAGAGATCAAGTGTGCCTGTGGGAGAGTGGGTATTATTTATCTCTTTATTCAGGGGACCTAGACTTTTCTTGAAGACCGAGTGCCAGGCACCATTCTAGGGCTGAGGGATACCATAATGCACCAAGAAACCTGGGACCTGCCATGGAGGGTAGGGGGCAACCAAAGCTTACTTATTCGTTGTCTGTGTCCCCTAACAGACTGTGTGTGTGTTGAGAGGGGTAAGAACCAGAGTGCTCTTGGTCACTATTGTATTGCTGGCACACACTAGACACTTAAACAATATTTCCTGTATAAACCAATAAACTTGGGCAGTAGCGCTTCCCTGCACCAATGCCTCAAGTCTGCCAATTGAGCAAGCCAGTCCCCAATTTCCATGTACCCCAGGGGCTGGCAGCTATGAGACACAAGTGTCACCCAGCTCAGATCAGGTCTCACTTCCTGGTTGTGTGACCTTGGACAAAACACTTCTCTCAGAGCCAATTTAGTTTTGTGCACTGTAAGATGGGAGTAGCTAAAAGCCTCCAGATGAGGGGTTATCAAAGGTCTCTTCCCAGTAGGCAGTACTGAGGATTGGAAACATTGTACTTGGCACTAGTTAATGAATACTCAAGGTGTAGTTCAATCATAGCCAATGGAAGGGCAAACTACACAATAATAAAAAGTTTAAGTGTATTTATTGCTGTTCCCCAAAGGGTCACATATCTCCAGTGCATGACCACTGCTATAGATTTGATACTCTCTTATGATTGGGGCAACCCATAATACGTTCACTTTTGGAATTGTTTCTTTTTTATATAACAATAATAACAGCCAGTACTTATACTTCCTGCTTAGTGCAGCTCTCTCCATGATAGTTCATTTCCTCCTAATGACCCTATGAAGTGAGGCCTAGTATTTAAAGATGAGGAAACAAGGCACAGCGAGGTAAATTTGCTCAAGGTCATACAGCAAGGAAGTGGCAGAAGCAGGATGTGAACCACGGGCTCACTGGCTTGAGTCAGGGCCCCTTAACCACTGTGGTCTCTTAAGTTTTTTTTTTAAAAAAAAGGGAAAAATATTTAAATAATATGAGTAGTGTTGCAAAAATATTACAGGATAAATACTAAGGCTTAAAAAATACAGATGTGTCTCAGTCACTCACTTATTCCACACACATTTATTGAGCAGTCTCTGTGTCCGTGGAGTTTTTCTAGGCACTGGGGAGACAGAAGGTACGGAGACCGTAAGTCTCCCTGTGCGCCCCGGGAGGGTAGGCCGGGGCTGAGTCCCTGCTGGGCCCTCAGCCCTGCACAGGGCACACAGTAGGCGCTCACCATGCATACCCTGAATGAACGCGTGAATCTTAGAGTCCCCGGGCGAGGCTTTTGCGACCAGGTGGGGCAGGAACGGACCCCAGCACCACTGCGGCGCCGTGGGGTTTCTGGGAATCCCATCAGCCCGGCTCAAGAGACCTCGAGGAGGCTCTGCGGCAGGACGGCCCCGTGTCCCCGGCGTCCTCCGCGGGGCCGCCGCAGCTCGGCAAAGACCGATTGGGGTGAGTGAGCAGGCCAGCCTGGGGTCCCAGCCAGTAGCCCCAAAGCCCCCGCCGCACTCCACCCTTATGACTCGGACTCCCGGCTCCTTCGCGGTTCCACCTGCAAGACCTTCCCTCCTTCTCCATCCGCAATTCCCGCTACCTTTTCAAACCACCGCGTCTTCCCGCCCGGAGACCGTCCCCCGAATCCGAGGTGCGCTCAGAACGCTCGGCGACCCCTCCCCAGCCGGGCTGGGCGCCGGGAATCTGGGAGCGCGAATCCCTTCCGCTCTTCCCCCAACCCGGAGGGTCGTTCGAGGCAATCGCAGGACTCCATCGGAGTCTGGGAAGGCGCGCCCCCAAATCCCGGGGACAGGGGCTGGGGATGGGGCGGTGCTGGAGCGAAGGGCCCCCTCCCAGGGCGGCCACAGCCTCCCATTCGCTGGCNCGGGGCTTTCCCAAGCTCCTCCCCCGGGGAGGGCGGAGGGAGGAGGCGGAGGAGGCGGAGAAGGGGGGGCGGAACACAAAACCTGTAAAGGTTTTTTTTTTCTTTTGCATTTAATTAAAAATAATTTATTATTTTTTTGCAAACC